TAGTAGTATATAGTAGTAGTATATAGTAGTAGTATATAGTAGTAGTAGTAGTAGTAGTAGTAGTATATAGTAGTAGTAGTATATAGTAGTAGTAGTAGATAGTAGTAGTAGTATATAGTAGTAGTAGTAGATAGTAGATAGTAGATAGTAGATAGTAGTAGTAGTAGTAGTAGTAGTAGCAGTAGCAGTCGCAGTAGCAGTAGCAGTAGTAGTAGTAGTAGTAGTAGTAGTAGTAGTAAGTAGTAGTTAGTAGTAGTAGTAGTAGTAGTAGTAGCAGTAGTAGGTAGTAGGTAGTAGGTAGTAGGTAGTAGATAGTGGATAGTAGATAGTAGATAGTAGATAGTAGTAGTAGTAGTCGTAGTAGTAGTAGTAGTATAAAGTAGTATTAGTATTAGTATTAGTAGTAGTAGTAGTAGTCCCCTCAACTCATATTCTGTCTATTTGGGGACCTCTGTAAAGGCGCAAACCTTTGGATGAGGATGTCCACTCCGACATTGCTCCATGAGTCCAAAACGGTAAGGGTCCACGGCTGCTGCAACGCCACATCTTCCTCACAGCTTTCAAATCAAGCTGACGCAAGATGAGGGTAGGCTAGTGGTCCTTTCATGTTTCTGCTTGAGCAACGCAAACAATTAATTACATGAATATACAAATAACTGACAATGTGAGAACAACTGTAACATATTCTTGAAAATGCAAATGGCATCACATCAATCCAGGTGTGGTGGTTTGGAATTTCTACCCCAGGGCTCGTTGACATGCCGAACTTGTGTCAGCAGGATGGTGGCGCCAATGAACCCTCCAAACAACTGTATCCACCAGCGTCATAGTCTTGCTTCAGAGCACAACCAACCGATCGAAAAATAGATTTTACATGATTTTACAATGCAACAAGCCAAGTACGATTGCACTTCTGCGTGACGTATTTCCAGAAATGACACGCTATGTGGGCTGGCTTCTTGAGTCTGTGGATTGTGATTGTGCGACACTTATTGCGTGGCATTGACTCAGCCTTGCAGTATGCTTCCTAGCTCTTCGTGAAAAATAGCTGTGTCCTGCAAGGCAGCCACTGTGACATTTAAGCGGAAGGAGTATCTCGTCTCGTTGACAAAGGTTGTAGGCACATTGATCACCTCAAATACCGCAATGAGTTTTTGCCTTCAACCAAATGAATGTTAGCAACGTTGTAAAACATCTCCCGGCCCTCGACTGAGCTGAGGGGCAGCCGCATTTGCATTTCCAATTTGGCAATTTAGGCTCTCATCATCTGGCAGCTGGTCATACGAGTCCTTTCCTCCCCAACGCTGGAAATCTGAGCACCTCAGCAAGGATGGGTCACCCATGACCTTAAACCCCGATACTCCCAGAAACAGCTCCATGAGCACTGCCTTCTCATATCTCTCCCCAGAGATGGAACATCTGCCAGGCGACACTTCAGAGAAGGGTCCTTTCCTTAGGCCCCAAAAAGGCAGCGAAGGCCTTTCGAGGCGACAGCGAGCGATCTCCGCGTGAAACCCCGAAGGCCCGACGCCAAGGGGTCTCGTTCGACGGTCTTCGCAGTCTGAGCACCAACCCGTTCGACTAGCGACAACCAACGCGTTTCTCAGTCTGAGCATCCGATGGCTCCAGGTCCAGCAAATGTGTTCATGTTAATAGGGTGTTCATGGGTTTTCCCCACTTACCAAGTAGACTAAGTAGACTGGTTTATCATGGTTTATCTCGATGGGCAAGGGGCGGCTTGCTGTGATGTGCCGGGTTCGAAATGCGATGAGACATCTTGAAACCCTGCAACCCCGATAGAAGTGACGGCCAATGCTGTAGATAACGCGAACAAATGGGACCAGCTTGTTGGATCAACTTATAGAGATTGTATCTCTTGCCAGTCATTTCCGAGAGATTTCATCTACGATAGAGAGCTTGTCTCTTCCCAGTCATAGAATTTATCCTAGTCAGTCAGTCATTATAGAGACTTTATCATTATCTCTTGTTCCTAAATAAATAAATGATCGATAAACATGGTTTTCCGCGGCTCTCACAGCATTGATTCCATAAAATGCCAAACCAAATCTCTGGTACAATGTACAATATTGAAAAGAATGGACGTTACACCTCAAACACTGTAGAACAAAACCCTCTCTATAAAATGAGAAATGAGGGTCCAAAGCGCATTTTAATGCATTTTATAGAGTTTAGTTACGAAAACAATGGAGAACAAATGAGAAAAGGTATATATTGTGTGGCGTAAAGAACATCAATAACACATACCTCTAACATGTTCTGAGTTAGAATAACAAGTTATGGAACTCAACTTAATCTAGAACGCAAGGATACAATAACAAAGCAAAAGAGGCAAGACAGGAAGGTAACCAGCAACCGTGGAAGAGATAGAGTCATTTGCACGTCCTGAGTTTGATGAACAATCAAAATCCATACAATGTCAATGGGATAAAAGCTCCAGTTTCACTTCCTTCACCATGTTGCACAGATTTTCTTTTTGGATTTAGAGCGCGCAATAGAAACATCGAGAAGAAAACTCGCGATGCCAAAAGCGGCCCTCTGATGATCTGCGGGAGGGATTTTGGACCCCACTCTGTTATGTGCACCTGTTCAATGTGTTTGTTGGGAGCACCACTGATTCATTATGCTTCATATGCGACCATTAAGTGTGAACCAGCTTGAATTACTCCCAAACTTCCATTTTTTGATGAAAACTGATGTCAGAACACGTCACACCACGTTTCTATCGTTCAACTGCCTCAGCTCACGTTCCGCGTAGGGCGCGCCAAGGCTCGTGGGAAAAGTGAAACCAGATGGTGCCACAAGCAGCAGCTGCCATTGAGACGTTGGTCCGCTTGAAGAGATGCCTGGCAAATCCGGACGATGCTGGGCACGTGCCTTGTCCACTCTTAGACAAGGACTCTGCAGATTGGGCAAATTCCATGGAATTTGATGGAATTTGTCTTCTTTTTTGCGGTGGTGAGTGAACTCTGCAAGTCACTGCTGGATGTGAGGAAACCTTGCCTCTCTTCCCGTTGAAAATCGCTGAGTTGGTGACAAACAGGAACCTCAGCTCAATGAAAGTCGAACCTTGATGGTCAACTTAAACTCATGTATCTATCTGTCTATCTATCTCTCTATCCATCCATCTATCTATACTTCTATCTACCTACCAGTATATATATACATAAGTACTATATATATATAGAAGATACAATCATATATATATATATTTACATGATGTATACATCTGTACTGTAAACTGCTAAAACAATTGTGACTGAACAGGTCACAACTAGCAGGACTGGTCGGAATCCAAACACTAAAAAAAGCCGTTCCGAGTCACGAGAGGTCATTCGCCGTTCCGAGTTCCCAGGGCACGTTGTTGGGATAGACCTGCCGTCAAGAAACTCGAGTGACGGTCACTTGGGATAGACCTGCCCTCCATCGGTGGGGTTCCGAACTTACCTGGATCCCAGTAGAACCGGGGAAGGAAGATCGACCGGATTTTCTTTGGACCCAGCCTCCAAGACATCATGCCCGAGCTTCCGCAAGACACAACATGTCGCATTCAAGTCGGTCTGTTGCCAGTCCCTCGCCTGAAAAAAGGGCATCCTGTAGGAGATCAGAAATCCAGGGAAGAACTTCCGCAAGTCGATGTGCTCCTGGAATTGACTCCTGAGCAAGATCTGGAGATTTGGAGAGATCAGGGGGGACGAAAAGTGACAGCCTGGGCAGACAGGCTGCGCACGACACGGTGTCGAAACCGTTTCAATCAAGCTGCTGTACATAGAAATACCAATAGTTCGAGGCGGGTGTAGCTGGAGGGTTCCGCACCCGTGAGCTCACATAGAAGAAGGTGTTGGGTGCTACGTAATCCTGATGACCTAGCATCAAGATCAGGCGACGTTTCCCATGCATTCCATGCTCTAGATCCGTGCTGTGGAACTGGATTTGTGATGACTTTTCCATGACTTCGCTGCCCAAGAGACTCACGTAGAAGCGGATGGCGGCTCCAGAAGGTGTCGCTTGATCAATGAGGTCTTGCAGAATCAAAGGAGCTCGATCTTGCTTGAATGAACTGGCGACCTGTAAATTGTGCAACAAAAGGGAATGAACTTTCAAACATTGGAGCAATGACATGGGACAACTGCCAACTGCCATGCCTCTGATGTATCGAAGACAAAACCTGCATTCAAGTGATCAAATAGAAAGATTCAACAAATCAAAAAGATTCAAAAGGTAACTGGTAGCTCGCAACACAATGTTGTCTCATTTTGCCGGTATGACTCAAGCCGCATTGCCAGCGTGCCCCCACGACTGGTTGGATCACGACGAGTTTCTCGTTCATTGATCAAAACGACGAACGCAATGACATGGGATGACGTGTTTGTTGCGCATTGACATGTCGCTGCTACCACGCTGTCACGCCTTCGGGCGCTGCCACGGTCACAGAAGAGCCCGGGGTCACCGGCCGGGTAGAACGTAGCAAGGCTGTGACCGTGTTGTCCACCGCACCTGCCGATTTCCACCGCAGTTTGTTTCAACCTGCGGTTTTTCATCACCTCAGCGACCCTCAGCCTTCTTCTTCCTGACCTTTCTTTATTCCCTGCAACGCTCTCGCCATCTCCACCGCAAAAGCCGAACGGAACCAATCGGTTCCTCGCCTGCCAAGGTGGTGACCGGTGTGACGCGCACGGAACGCATCTGTCGTAGAGGGAAGCCGTCGACCAAATCGCGCTCTCGAGCAACACCCTCCTGCGTGCATCGTCTAAACTTGCAAGAGCACACACACAACTGCATGATAGATCTTTATATCTTTTTCAGCAAAGAGTGACCCCGTGTGACCCAGTTGCAGTTGATCACGCATCAAATCCTGAGGCCCTGAAAAATGAAAAGGCGGATCTTGTCCTATAGAGGTCAGAGGTCACAGAAATGATCTAGACTTCGTCCTCCTGTAGTTTGCCTTGATCAGTGTCACCACCCTCCCGTACGTCTGGTTTCTCCGCAAATATGGGCGTTCAAAATCCCTGTGAATTACATATACTTGCTTGTCCCCCCATTTTATAGCACTTGAACTGCAGGGTATATACAATGAACCTGTAAATGCAACATGTTAGGCATGTGTACACCATTGTATACCTGAATGTCCCTATCTATAAAACAGATATAAACAAATTCTCAATTTCACAAAGTGTGGTATTGTTAAAGTCACAGGGAAACCACATCAGGTCAAAATAACATGAAGTGCACAGGTTCAAGCAGCGTGTGTGCGGCCAAAACAGATTTAAACAAACGCTGCGTCGGAATTACTTGACCTTGGACGTTCCCCTCAGCCTCGGAAGCTGGCCGTACGGGCCCAATGTGGCAGTGGACACAGAACACCAAGCTGGCAAGGCTTGCAAAGCACTCGCAAGAATGGCACAGCTGTATATAAACCATGCAATGCGAAGTCCAGCAAAGACTCAAAACCTATTCTTTGTATGCGTCTAGCATCTGGCTTCTAGATACTGGTACAAGTTGAAAGAGTGCGACGCTCTCATGAAGCTTGTCAAGGAGACAACTTCTGTATTTCCCTCTGAACAGCTGGTGATGTATGGATGTTGTTTCAGGATGTGTTTGTTTCTATGACAGGTCATGGTTAAACTAAATGCTATGTAGGGAGACTTACAGTACTGAATGTATCTTAATGTCTAAGATTCTTGATGGATTTACGTGGAAAACACTAGTAAAGGCTCAAAAGGCACGGACGTATATTGGCCGCAGGTTCCGCTCACTGATCAAGATAAATTCAACATCGTTCAAATATGTCGAACCTCTTCGAGCGTTTGATCACGGTATCGTCGGTGTCTCACGTCCTGCACTGCTCTGATTTCCCACGAATTCTCCAAGGGCACGCTGAGAGCATTGCGCACCTGGCAAGAACAAAACTCGCTGCGAGTTGACACCACGACACCCAAAGCGACCTGCAACGATCGAACGGATCAACAGGTTTGCACGATCAGCGACCTGCAAAGTGAATTCATAGATTGTGAAGGCAGTCAAGCTCAGTGATAGATGAACCCTGGCGGACGACGGACGATGTGCAACCGACTTGAGCATCCAGCGGATTTTGGATCTTTCCTGTGGCACACAACGTATTTCAATCGAACAGCATTATGATTTTTATAGCAACATCAGATTGAGCAGCTCCTCGCGATGTTGGCTTGCTCGCTGTCGGCCAAGCAAAGGCTTCCTGGTCATGAATAAAGCCTACAGTGGTTAACTGCAACCCAAACCGCAAGCCTCTTCAAAAAAAAAGCGTCTGAAGACATCTCCTGGGACGTTGGCTTTTATGCTTTATATATTACAGACAGTATACTATTTTATCTTACTTGGAGTAGCACTCCGCATCTCCCATGGGCAGCTCAACAAAGCTCGTCCATTCCTCCTTTTTGTTTCCAAGGCTCGTCCTTTCGTCCGTCGAACCCGCACGCGTCCGAGGACGCCGTCGCTCCTGGAGGCAAAGCACGATGAGGAGAACCTGCTCGACTCAGCACCCAGTAGCCACAGGTCTTTTGGAAGGTGAAGCCTTCGGGAGCCACCACCTAAAAGAACATCAACGCCAAACAGAAACCGCAGCGACGCTCAAAACAGCACGGACCAGCGGACCAGAAACTCACCCAAAAAGCACAAGACACAAAGAGATCACTTGGATTGGATTGGCTGATTTGAAGTCTGATCAAAACAAAGCAATGCTGGCTGTAATGCTTGAAAAAAAAGCAAAGTGAAACAACAAGTCCCAAGACTGTGAGATCACATCGCTGGCAGGTCCTAACTGCCCCGTCCCAACCGTCCCAAGCGCCAACGATAAGCACCATCTGACTCACTCAAATCTGCGGAACGCCTCTAACCACGTCGCGAAAACACATAGCTTGTCTTGCGAAGTGCATTGGTGGCTCCTACCTAAGTCTGGAGCAAAGGAGGTTTCACTTGACATGTTTGATTGAGCCAAGAGTACAAGTTGCGAAAGACAACAAGAAGGGTGGTCGACCAGGAGGAGATCCTGAGAAGCGCGCCAGAAGCATCTGCATAGAGGTTCTGAGACACTGCCACGGCCACGTGAATATAGTTCTCCGCTAATGGCTCGTCCACGTCTGCTTCCTAAGCAGACTCTGTGGAACACCACCAACTGCAGGAACCGCCAAGCTCTGCCAAGACTCCAAGTAGGAGATATTGAAGCTGGAGCGCACCAGAAAGCCAGCGATGGCGCGATCCAACGCCAAGGTGTTGTTTTGATTCCTCACTTCTAACCTGAGATGTTCGTCCAAAAAAAGTCCAATGCAAAAGGAAATGCTTGTCGTTTAAGCTTTCCATGGGGTAGCCCCAGGAAATTCACATGAATAAACCATGCGTCAATAATAATCTGGCTTTTGGCCTGCCAGGATTTTGCAATACTATTTGTTATTGCGCCAACATCCAGACCCCAAAATTGATTTTTTTTAAATGGCGAGTCAATTAAAACCATGAGACAATAATCATCAGTTTGTCCCTCTCAGATCCCAATTTGCCTTCAGAATGCTGTCTCTTTTCATTGCGTCTCGGAAATCTCAGGCAGACCTAAAAGAAAATATCATGTTCCTTTTCATGTGTTCTCCTTCTTCTTCTTCTTCTTCTTCTTCTTCTTTCTTTTTGTTCTTTTGTGTGATCTGTCTTTTTTATAGTTGCCATCAGATTTCCAAAAACTTTGGCTAGTCAAAAGCTTTAGGTTTCCTGATGCAAACCCTACCAAACAAATACCAAAAAGTTATCTTCAAAGGGTACCCCTTTAGACTCCTACCCCTGCAATTATAAACCAACCTACAATAATCAAGCCCCCTGCAGCCCTGCTGTCTTGTTAGTTATCTTGCGCTTTCCCCTTTACTCTTAATTTCTCCGATCTTGGCCCACTAAATGTCCAAAACTTTGGCTAGCCAAAAGCAGAATGAAAGCAAAATGACAGCAATGAAAGCAAAATGAAAGCAACCCCTAGCAAATGGCCTGAAGGTTTTCTATTGAATATGAGATTCTTGATCCCAAAAAAAAAACATAGGGGGGAGGAGGGGTTTAGAATTGAACATTAGAACAACTGCCCTGACAGGCTTTTGCCCTAACTTGAGGCCAGAGGGGGTGAACGAAAGCTAGCCGGGCTTCCGGTGGTCTGCTGCTGGTGCTGCTGCTGCTGGTGCTGCTGCTGCCGCTGCTGCGCTGGGCGCTGCTGCGCTGGGTGCTCTGCAGGCGCCGGGTCGTCTGCTGCTGCTGCTGCTGGCGCTGGGTGGTCTGCTGCGGCTGCTGCTGCCGCGGCGTTGGGTATGCTGCTGCTGCTGCTGCCGCCGCTGGGTGGTCTGCTGCTGCTGCTGCTGGTGCTGATGCTGCTGCTGCCGCTGCTGCTGCCGCTGCTGCGCTGGGCGCTGCAGATGCTTGGTGTGCTGCAGCTGCTTGGTGGTCCCGCTCACCGCGCGCAGGGGGGAGTCGAACCGCGCGGGCGGGGGAGGGGGGGGGGTCCATAAGATTGATTTAATCAATTATTTGAGGTTTCTGAGGTGCGTCCACCCCGTCACTTAACTTGCTAAAGCAAGAGCAACTCCAGCTAGCTAAGGCTAGCTTTCGTGAAAAGCAACACCGAGGCCTCAACGTCCATTTGAAGAATCACGACCACCCATGGTGTCCGCGAAAAAGACTCGACCCTTGCTGCGGCCCATGGTGTGAGTGCTTCCCAGGAACTTCCACAGGTTCACAGGCGGACTCACTGCTGGATTCCCAATGGTCAATCTGAAGACTTGTTGCTGCGAGCGGGGAACAGCGGCCAGCAACACCACCAACACCTCAGCCTGCGAGACGCCGTTGTAACCACGATTAAAAGATATTGTTCGATCATTGATAGAAAACAAGTTTTCCCAACTGTAACAAAATTCGCATTTCACAAACAAATAGATCATGACCCGATCGCCGATAAAGAAGCATGACCCGATCGCCGATAAAACATCCTGACCCGATAAAGAATCTTTTGTGGATTCACCTGCGTCTGTCAGCCTGCCAGGGCTGAAGAAGAAGGACTCTGTGAACCTTCCCACCCAAAAACAAACTGAATAAACTCCCAATCTTTGCAATAGCTTGTCTTAAGTCAAATCTGTAAAAGCCCCTGCAATGCAACACAAAACTCTAAACAAATGTCGAAAAGGATGGAAACGAAAGGATGTTGTGTGACTGGTTTGCCATATCCTGGAATGATCTGTTGTGATTCTTGTGATGGTGATCATATATGCTGGGTGTATCCTATTCCCTGTAACAGTGGATGATGATGGTTTAAAGGCCTTCCTCTAAAATAGTGATTCTCTTGTTTACCGACTGTTGCAGGTAACCTGACACCCCCAACATATATGATCATAACAAAACTACACAAAACACCATGGTTTAACATCAACTCTTGGCGGTTGTATATAATTTGTCATTGAACAAATGGAGGGACGGATGTTGTTCATAGTTTCTCGTTTGAAAAGAACCACTGGCACCCGTAATTATCAATTGCAATTAATTAGTATGTATTAATTATAGAGTCATTATAGAGTAAATATTATATATATATGTCATGTAAAATGTTAAATGATAATGTATGAAAATTAATGTGACGCAAAATGACCCAAGCAACCTTTGCCGAGCTTGCTTGCTGCGATCAGCACAACACAACATACGAGTACCACCTTGTTCCACTTGATTCAATACCATTTCGAAGGGCCAATTCCAGACCCTTTCAGCTCTGGGACCCTTCACCCTCGTCCACCCCGGCCTCGTTCAGCTGCTGCGCCTCCACGGCGGGCAACGGCGCTTGGGGCGCGAAGGTCCGTGCGTAGAGGCGGAAGCCGCTAGGCGCCTCGTCGTTTTGGGAGACGGTTTTAGGAGACGGCGTGGCTTTGTTGTAACAAGAAGCTACTAGAAACAAGTGCATCGCTTCCAGTAACAAGTGCCTTACTAGTAGTAACAAGAAGCTAGTAGTAACAAGGGCTTTGATGCATGTCTTGAGATGATCGTTGTAGGTGCTGTAAATCCGCCCACACCGCTTGCGCTGCAGGGCGTGTTAGGGGCGGGTCAAGCTGGAATAGATTTGATTCGATTTGTCGTGTCTCATTCAGTGAATTCAGTTTGTTGGGAGTGCTACATGGTGCGACCACACTCAAGTGGTCGTTCCAGGTCGCCGTCTTCACCGGTGTCGGGTCGATGGACGTTGTGGTTTGCTTCACCAGTCGGGACCCGGTCTGAGTGGCGTCTGTTGCATTTGGTTTGCTTTGCAGGCGGCTGGCTCTGCATTACAAAAGGGAAGCTTGAAGTAGTAGAATCTACCGATCAACCGGTATTAAGTTACGATTTTCATCATACGAGCCCTTCGAAACCTCAAACTGAACCCGCTGTTCATGCGCCTCGATATGGAGAGACGACCCTAGTGGCAGCGGGATCGGTGAACTGAAGATGAAATCCGCGTGGTTGGCGAAAGACAACGATGTCAAATCCTCACAAATGATGGGCACTGGAGCTCAAAACAAGCGGCCATTTGGAAGGCATTTAAAACTACATAAATAAATATATATACTTATAAATTTAAATATATATTATGTATTAGTACTGGAATTGTATAAATTACCATGGGATGTAATTACAGGACTAAGTCACTACTGAAAGTGCCAACAAGCTACAGTACATTATACATAATCTTTTTCATCAAAGCAAACCACAGCATCCACAGCCGTCTTCCGCACGGCCGTTCTCCCACCGCGAACCTCCCAGGTCCAGGTCCCACTCCTTGGGAATTACCGTGGCCTCAAGCCTTGGAAAGATCATGAAGCCTCGCGAGCCGAGCGCCCCTCGTCGCTGGTTCGCGGCCGCGGGTGACTGGGTGTGGGTAGGTGTGGCTCGTGGCACCCGGGGGATCTTGGGTCTTTCCCGCCGAGAAATGAACAGAATCGACATGAACAAACCACTGGAGAGGTCAACCTTCCACGGGTGAGTTCCGGGCAACCCGGGTGACCCACAGCCATACATGGATGTGTGCGAACCGGAGACCATTTGGCCGGTGTTGGTCGATGGTCCGAACCGAAGCGAGGACGAATTTGGCCCAGATCTGAGGTCGGATCCCTTCCCTCACCAGGCCTTGGATGTTTGGCGCTTCATCCAAGGTGATGTTGAGCGCATTCAGCGTTGTTATATCCCAACGGTTCTCTTCAATGCTTAGCCTTAGATTCACTTCTGATGTTTCTCGGTTGATGCTGGTCGCCGGGAAAAATGTCCATCATGTTGGGTCAAACTCTCAGATGCCAAGTCCAGCATCTCTCGATGCCAAGTGCACTGGTGGAGTCCAAACTGCCATCACATGCTTTCACCTTCGGATTCCAAGTCTTCCACTTTCTTTTTCAGAATTTTGGGATCCCACCTCTTCATACCTCTTCAAGATGGCACATTCCATACTGATCATACTGGATCATGCTGGTCTTCCTCTTCGAAGAGAAACGAACCACGGATCCCGGTCGAACCCTGGTCGACCCGGTCTCCTCCCCGTGGTGTCTTCGGCCCGGCGACGGAAGTGGCCCGGAGTTGATTTGCACTTCTGCAAGGACGTGGCTATCTCCCAGCCTTCTGCGACACGGCCCAGCAGGTCTCCCAACAAGGACATGGAAGAACACTCTGACGAAGCACACCGACGTGGAAGTGGATAGGATGGTCCCATTGGAAGACACTGGAAGACTTTCCTTTACAAACAGAGGGATTTCCACTTCCATGTGAGTGAGTCTGAGTGTAGCTCTTTATAGGTGCTTTCACATGGTCTGTGCAACGTCATGTGCAACGTCAAAGAGTGCTGAGATCTTGGCACCAAAGCGTTTCCTTGCAATCCTCGTCGTTTTCAAATCAACGAATCCAATCCATATCAAGTGATCCAGGTTTGTTCAAATCACAAGATTGCAAATTATGCTATAACTGTGCCTTTCGCCAATGTACTAAATTATATTGAGACAAGCGTCTGATGAAAATGCCTGATTCGTCCACGCCACAAACAGAATCCACCTCTTGGCAAAGGATGCTGATTGAATAACATTACAGGAATGCGTCTGGCGGAAAGCTCAATGGGAAAGTGTGTGGGTTCACATCAGAAACTCTGGAATTCCAGGAGGCAGCCGAGAAACTGGCAACCCAGTATCAGAGACACTGCATTGCTCTGAGAGGGGCAGGATGGATGCCTGCCCAGTTCCCATGGTTCAATCAATCAAGTCTGTCTGCGACGAGGTCTGTGTGGATGTTTTGGAGGAACCCATGTTCAAATGTCGCCCAAATGGGCCTAGCTCAGTTCCGCGACCACTTTTTCCGTTGCCTAGTCTGGGCCTAGTTTTCACTTCGAGCGAACTGCCAACCCATCAACATAGCTCCTAGTAGCGATGCCCTTTGTTCCTAGTAGTTTTTTGTTCCTAGTATTCGTCAAACACTCACTGCGACTCGATCCACGGTCTTTGTTCGCCCCGCCGGCGGCGACAAGCGCAGCGCGTCGCCCGCGCGCAAGGCGGTGACCGGGCGGAAGGCCACGCGGACGAGGCTCAAGAGCTGCACAGGCAACGGCGCCACCAGGGCCTTGGTCAACACAGTCTGAACATAACGGACTGTTCTTGGACTTTTCGGTGCCTTCAGTGGGGCATGATCCATCACCAGTTTCTGGAGTAATTCATAAAAGCAACAAATCTTTTGACTCTCAAGACTCGAGGCTCCCAAAACATTTCGCACTGCGATAAGTCCCACACAAAGCATTTATGTTTATATTTTTTAATGACTTATTGTAGATAACCTGAAGATACCTGTTCAAATATTGTAGATAACCTGAAGATACCTGAAGGGAGGGGCGAAAGCCAGGCTCCGTAAGAAGACATCAATCTGGTTATGGGGGTGAATTCGAAAGCGCACTGGAGCCATTATCAGGCATGGGGAAGTGCCCCATTCCTTTTGTTCAAGGAGCGTTTCAAGATAAAACCGGGCACCCCTAAGTAACTGAGGGGCGCTTGCCTGCTGTTTGTTATTCTTGTCCCGTAGGTGGACTCATAAACTCGGCGTGCTGCCAACAAGTGATTGCCTAACATCGGGCAAAGAGTGCCTTTCTTATGGGGTGGAATCGACATTGCCGCCACGCCGACTGGTGTGGTAGAAATAGAAAGCAGAAGGGTGCCAAGAATACTCAAAGGCTTGTGATTGCCGTCTATTCCCTCTCCTGTCCTCCCTTTCATTCTGATTACCCACGAGAAATCAAAGGGATGAGAGACGCACTTATAGTTTTTTCCTGGTGCTCTAATCGGTCACGGCGTCCCCCCCCTTTCCGCCTAACTCCCTGGGATTGCTCTGAGAGGTCCTTCTGCATCCAGTTAACAGCCCTCTTCACCACAACAAGGGGCACCCCGGCACCCCACACCAAGCTTGCTCAACGGACCATCGCCTTGCTTGCTTGTGCATTCTGCTCCCTCTCCTGTCCTCAACTGATAACATCCTTTCTGACGTTCCCTTCCACTCATATTAGCCACGAGAAAGTGATGATTGAGAGACGCACATCTCACTTTGCTGTATTTCCGGCCTCTTTAAGGCCTCTTCACCATTAAAAAAAGGGCACCCCCAATCAACTCAAAGCTTGCCCACGGCAGTCCCCTCCACTCATATTAGCCACAAGAAACCAGAGTGTTGGGAGGCGCACATCTGACTTTGCTGAACTAGTTCCAACCGCTTTTCACGTCCTGATGTGTCCCCTTTCCTGTGACGTGAACTCCCGCCCATGGTCGAAGACAGTTTAAATATCCTATCGGCTGGCTTTTGTAATGTACACATGTCCACATTGCATTGCATTGACCCCTTTTCATCCTTTTTTTCAACTAAGGAGTGTCTGGGCTCGACCCTATCAACCCCGGAAGTAATCAACAAGGTCTCCTCTCCAAGGAGCCGTGATCGTTGTGTCCTCGCAGCAAAACCACACCACAGCGCGAGATGATGCGGGATGGAAGAAGATTATTTTAGAGGTCTGGAGGGCCCTCCAGAGCATCAAACAAGAATTGAAAAAGGTTGGGGTTTGCCAATATAATATGGTGGTCCTGCAGCAAGGGCAGCAGCTGAAAGCCTCTTGTGCTGCGTCCAGCAACAGCTGGATAGTCCACGTTGTCACGATGACGAACCAATCGAAGCTGCCAGTAGTTCGCCTCCCACAGCAATTAAAGGGCATGTTCTCGGGCCCCATGTCCCCACCCATGTCCCACCAGCTTGAGAAATCATGTGTTGCACTAGAGTCACTATAGACTAAACTTAAACACTGGATTTGTTATAAGTTATAACTGCCTTTCTGAAGTTGGAAGGCAAACCTTACTCCACATTCGAGGACACGCCCCACAAGCCTGTATGATCTCTTTCTGTCTCAAGGCCGTCAAGGCTGGGTTGGAGACCATCACGTCGAAGACGTAGCTTGGTCCTGGTCACCCCAAAACACACCCCGGGGCACTCCATGTAGAACCAGTTCTACACACAAAAAAAAAAGAAACTGTTCTCCACATGCCACACACGACAGTTCTATCTACACCTTCATCTAAATCCTGTCACTTGTTGCTCACATCAAAAGAAGTTCCGAATTAACTTTCTGGATCGTCGTTCTGGGGGGTGTTTTTTTGCTACACCATGGTCTAGATACTCCTCAGCACAAAACAAATGGTTATCAGAAGTCTAAAGCGATCACCTATCAAAAAATAGATTCAAACAAGATCCTCAAAACATTGCAAAGGCCATGGCGGCCATCGCAAAGTCATTAACATAGGTCGTTGCCCTTTTCAAACGGTTCCAAACCAAAGCTGTGCATGACCATCCGCACAGATCTAAGAGCACACTTGATGACCACATGCGGTGGGATCGGACGACTCTCTGAGGCAGGGGCCTCCAAATCTCCCAAGCAAAAGGGATCCAAGAACCTTCTCATAAGGTACTCGGACCCTCCAAACCTACATGACAGTGTCTCCAATCACCGCACCTCAGAGGGTACGATTGGATCCCTAGGGAAACACAAGGGCATGTCTGGGACAAAAGCAGCGATAGAGGATGAAGGGCGGTCCTACATCCAACTTCCCGCTGAGCCGTAAGCGGAAGCTGTTGGCGCCAGGCTGTGCAAGGCAAGCATTGGCCTCCAGATTGAGAAACTCTACACTAGGTCTTCAAAAACCGAAGCCTGCGTTAGCAAACAAAGGACCTGCTCTAGTTACTCTAGTTACTTGCAGTGGGGTGGCAGCTGTACTATAGCAATCCATTTCCGAGCCCAGCCCATTTCGAGTCAATGCATGGGGCTGCCAACGCGAAGGCAGCACATGCTATCAAAACTGAACGCATGTGTCTATGTATACTGCATGGTGGTCGGTCAATATTCTTTCAAAATGGAATGGCCAAAAATGACCCCTTCCCCATTTTGCTCAAATTGAACACTTGTGCCATGGTCACAATTCCTAATGGGAGGGTGTACGATAACCAAACATTCAGAATCATTCAGACATCCCATGACACACATAGGTTTTTGACTCTGATTCGTGGATCTCTGGGCGGGCAACAGCCTGCTGCAGCATAGATTCCTTGGATATATATATATATATATCCTACTTAAACATGCTTTATGTTGCTTTGATCCAAAGATGCCAATGCCATCGCTTTCTCCCGGCCGTCTTTCGAGTCTTTCGCTTTCCCGTTGAACAGTCTGCACCGTCGCATGGACGTCTCGGTCACCCGCCTCGACCGGAAAGAACTGCACGTCTGGGGAGATGCGCTCAAAGTGGGCACAGCGTTCCATGAGAAGTATGTTCACTGCCTGCCCAAACCCAAGAAGGCAGCAGTAGCAACTCTGCCAAAAGACTCTATGTCAGAAGGAGCACGATGTATTTCATCATATTTCATGGCTGTGGCTTCAAAAAAAACTCCCCTGATCGGTTCGTTATTTAGTGGATCTCAATCAAGAACATGTGCGGATAAACGAAGCTCAGCATAGCCAAGACCGGTCAGATTAGAACGGTGCGATACAAGAATGGCGCACGATTTACGCTCAGCTTGCGACTTGTTCACATCAGATACCAGTCCGAACATGCTCCCATGTGATACATCCTTCAATCTTTCGTGCCTGCACATGGGGTTGTAATACTGCCATTTTGGTCGCACAGTTCCTTGCGAGTCTACGATGGCCAAATATCTCCTGGGATGGCAAAGCTAGTTCATCTGACGTCGGCATTACATGGTACGAGCTGGCCATTGCTTTTGTAGTTTGTACAGGGACATTCCTCCTAGTCTGGCTTGGCAATGGCCATCGGCATACTAGACCTTTCCCATATCATTCGGTTGGAGTGCAATCTCAACCAGTTGCCAGGCGTTTTTCTGCGCCAACAGGTCGAGTCCTTGCAAGTGATTGTTCGCTACCTACAAGATTTCTCTCCAGATCCTCTCTATCCAAAGTTTGCACAGAAACATATATCCTCCTTAACCCTTTTTTCTGGCGAACTCAAAAATACACAACCACGTCGTGTAGCGCACCACCATTCCATCCTGATTTTGCCATTCCAGACGATTGTGCAAAAGCCGTGTTCTTCTCTGATTTGCCAGATGATCTCAGTTACGATGTTGATGGACATTCAAACGTCGCCTCCACGATGCATACAATGCCCATCAAAATATTAATGAAGTTCACGGTGACAATTAATTAGATGCTTCTTCGAGCTCGATATCCTCTCCAAGCCGGAGCCTGTGGCCCTGGGTGTTTTTTGTTCTGGCGACGATGGTTTGGTGCTTGTCGGTTTTATTATGTTGCTTTTGGTTTCCTGTTTTTACGTGTGGGATCTTAGTGAGAGGGTGTGCATGTCCATACATACAAACACCCCGGTACCCCTGAAAGGGAAGGGCCGTCGGGTGGCACGGGAGCGGAAGAAGGAGAAGGCGCGGGACGTCGACGTCTCGATCGGTACCACATGGTACCACCCCGTATGATCGTCCCTGAAATCAGGTCTGTTCGCCACAGCCAGGGCCAGCATGGGCCAAACCCATCTCTGGATGAAACCCATCTCTCCGCCCCATCTCTCTCGGCCATGTTCGACCAAGACATACCGAGACTCTGCCCTGGACAGCCTGAAAGTGTGCGGCAAAGGGCGAAGGGCTTTTTTGTCCAGACCTCAGGGACAATGACACATGTCTGAGAAAACAGCGAGGGCACCGATTCAGGCACCCAAAATGGAGTAAACATGTTCATTTTCAGCCGTCCCCAAATAGATTTTAAAAAAAGAAACGATTTCCAACAAATTCTGAGTGAGGATATATACTGTTCTATCATGTTCTATCATGTTCTCTCTACTTCAGGGTCTCTGTAGTCAATCCTTCCAAGTTGGACTCGTTCGCTTCGACCGAAGCTCGACCCTTGCGGCTGCGGCACCGGAGCTTCGCCCAACTCCATAGGTCGACCATTCCCTCTCTCCGCTCGTCTCTCCCGAAGAAGGGCAACTCGCAGTCTATGCTGAGTTCTTCATGGTCGGTTCCGACCCAAAGAGACCTTGTTCTCCCAAAGAAAGTCTCTGCTTTCCAGGCGTGTTGTGCTCTCCATATCTCTCCTATCATGCTTGCATGAGTGGTCCAAGATGGTCGAGTAGGTCCAAGATGGTCCAAGTCACGTGGTGGGCACAGTAAAGAAGGGTGGCATGTCCAGGACAATGAAGCTTTCCTCGCTTGTTTCTTTGTCCGAAAAAGAACGCTGCCCGGCACGGTGCTTTTTGTCGGCAAACGGAGCAAGACACGGTAATGGCATGTGATCACAAAGAATGAGAAACGATTGAATTTTATTGAATTGGTCAATATATCAATATCTAGAATCACCTAGAATCAACGGAATCACCAACCAAAAAAATCGCGCCTGTGTGGACGATACAACTTGAAACACACCCAGCTCTTCGGGAAGTGAGAACTCGAATCCTTAGCCGAGTGGCAGTCGCTTTCTGAGGCTCAGTTTTTGAATTGTTTTTGGTTCAAATGATATCCTGGTATGCGGTCCACGACATGTCGTGGTTCGTCCTGATGGCCAACAAAACAGCTGCCAAGGCCGCAGAGTGCCGCAGAATGCCTTGTGATCCAAAAATTCAGACAGTCTCCGGACCCATCCAATTCTCTGAGTTTCTGATCGTAGACTCTGCACCCGCATGTTGGCTGCTCGGCTGCAATGAAAATGAGGCAATCTGCAAGTGCACGGGATAACCTGCAGCGCGAATGGCTCCGAATGACGTACCCTAGTAACAAGAAGCTAGTAGAAACAAGTGCATCGCTACTAGTAACAAGTGCCTTACTACTAGTAACAAGAAGCTAGTAGAAATCTATTCTATGCACCCGACTCGTTCAGCAAACGAGCTTTTCAGCACGACGCTGCCTGTCACAGCAGGATTTTGCTCCAAAAACGCTTCGCCTGGCAGGGCAAACTGCATGATCAAACTTTGCCTGTCATGAAAAGATAAGTTTTTCTTCCATCTCATGTACATAAATTGATATTCCAATCTGAATATGATTAACATTCATTATATTATATAACTCGTCCAAGCAACTTGGCATCAAATCTCGCATCAGTTTGTCTTGGATATTCTTGGTTCATATATTATAAGTATGTTCACATCAGGTCTAACCAACCAAGTCTCTTGCTCATCGACCCTTTCCTTATGCTCATCCGTTCCACCATGTTACATGGTACTTATGATACTGCTGCCTGCTATAGCACTGGTTGCGGATTGCGTATTTGTTCCAAAAGAAGCAAATATCACTCACTGGCCATTCAAAACGTGGCCCTGAAACTGGGCTAGTAGTAACAAGTGCCACGCTAGTAGTAACAGGTGCCTTACTAGTAGTAACAAGAAGCTATTAGGAACAAGTGCATCGCTTCTAGTAACAAGTGCCTTACTACTAGTAACAAGAAGCTTTTAATTTCAAAGATCGTGTGAGACGGGTCGCTCAAGAGCTCCCGCCGATCCGACCTAGCTCCGTCTGCTCCACGGACGCCACGGACCAGTCTTCGGCGGCGGAGGCCACGGCGGGATTGATGACCTGCACGGGCGGAGATGTTCTCTGGTCTGACCGATCCACAGCGATGGTTTGGGCATCTTCTGACATCTTCCGACCCCAAAAGATCAAGAAAAATGGTGAAACATGTGTGCAAGATGCCTTCAAATGCACTCGAGGTCAGTAAAGCACAGCATCTCCACAAAGAACAACAACCTTGTTTGGTCTTGCATGCTCAAGTCATTCAACGAGGCACTCCCAGTTTGAAGCGAACGAGGGAACCAGCTGCAATGAAGGAGGAGTCATCCAGCTGCAGCTGAATGCCGCCACCAGACCCTCAAAGAGAGAGACCGTGGAGACCCGGTCTCCGGGAAACCACTGGAGATGGCCTCCAACCTAAGAGCGATGGCCTCCAACCTATTTGAAAAGGGGTCCATGTAAGTTGCCTACATGGAGTGCCTGTGCTATATGTGATATACCTATACTTGTCACAATCGCAAGAGCGGAGGCAAAACAGTCGCCTCATATTTCTCTCAACATCCAGAATGGTTCTTAATGTCTTGTTGATCCTCTCGCGGTCTTGCGAGGCATTCCTGGGTTTTCGAACACGCCATTCCTTTTGCGTTCGGCTTTCCCAAAAGAATATTGACCCCTGACCTGTAACAGGTTTGCTGACCAGTGGGGAACGGAGGAACAGCTAGCTATGTACACTGTACACATTCCATAAGAATAAGACTAAGCAGGGGAACCGTTAACTTCTCCAAAAAGCATCCTTGTAAGACCTTGTAGTGGGAATTCCAAAATCTTTACTTCGCTTGTGGTCCATCGCTGAGATTCATCGATCACAGCAGTGACCTCTCCGCAGTCAGTGCCCTTCAGTGCCCTCTCCTCGTTCACAGCTGGTGGCAGGCAAGGCTGCAAGACCAGTATCAGGCTCAAAGCCTTGACGCAACAACAATTGTCGCAACTCCAAAGGGTGCACATCCAAATGCGCCACCGCCCTTCTTTAAGAAGGAACAAACACATCGTGCGTAAATTGGAACGGTTTGATCGGTGACTTCTCAATGTTCATGGCCACATCAATTTAGTCATAACTGTTATACATATAGAATCTGTATGAATCTGCCATGATTGTTATACAATGTTATATACATATATAATCTGTATGAATCTGTATAGAATTGTATAGATATACATTTTGTATGTGTCAATGTCAAGACCCCAAAAAACACCGTCGGATCAGCGTTGGACATGGACGCCCCTCAGTTTCCACGACTCGCTCGACGGAGCCACCTTCACAGGGCTCTGCGGGAAGGAGAAAGCCCGGTGGGGCGTTGATGATCAAGGATCCATTGGGTGGCAAGGTCAAGGAGGGCGTCAACTCGATGCTCACAACACCTGGCCGAAGGATGCTGGTTGAAGAGGTCAAACGAAGGATGCGCGCAGGTTGCTGAGCGTAGGTTGCTGAGAAAGAGGGAAATTTCCCTGACTAACGAAGTGCCTTTTTCGACGTGCAACTCAAGAACGCTAATTGTGATACTGCATAGATTGCCTTGTGGTGTTAAAAACCAATCAGCAATTCACCAGAGCTCTCGAGCCACAACCTGACTGATCCTGTTCGCATGAGATGTAAATTCCAGTAGGTTGGAGGCCCTCGTTACTAGAGTGGAGGCCATCGCAATTGGGTTGGAGGCCATCGCTCTTAGGTTGGAGGCCATCTCTAGTAGGTTCCTTTAAAGTCCTTTATGGTAAGTCTATACGCTCTCGACCATGGGACGGCCGACACCCCTCGCCTTGCTCACCTGCACCCATGACGAAGGGCTCAATCAGTGATCTGGTGAAGGACCAAAGAAAGAAGGCCTCGAGTTCCCCGCACTGTTTAGACATGTTTGGATTTCAAGCGGTCAAATACACTGGCCAGAAGAAAGTTGCGCTTCTTGATGTTGAAACTCATGACAACCCTATCCCCCTAGAATCCTACACCATGACACAAGGGAAGGTGTGGGCGGTCATTTGTCAACCCGGAAAGCTTTTTATTATTATAAATTTAAAAGAGTGTGATAATTGACCGTCCCACACCTGCCACGAAAATTAGACTTGTTAATTCGATCCGCCACTGACCTCAGAGTGTTTTGTAAGAAGGCTAACAAGCGTAAACTTTTGTCTGCCTGAAGGGCAGCGAAGAGCAAAAATGTACAAAATGTGCATCCGTTCAACCTCTGGTCTATTTATATTTATACGTATATAGATATGTTTGGTAAATATATAGCTGTAAAGAGGACAGAGTACTTTATAGATTGACATTTCACTTAAAAAACGACCAATCAGTTACCTGTCAATGCAACACCCCTTTTTTTAACGCACTGGCCAGAAGAAAGTTGCGCTTCTTGATGTTGAAACTCATGACAACCCGACCCTATCCCCCTAGAATCCTACACCATGACACAAGGGAAGGTGTGGGCGGTCATTTGTCAACCCGGAAAGCTTTTTATTATTACAAATTTAAAAGAGTGTGATAATTGACCGTCCCACACCTGCCACGAAAATTAGACTTGTTAATTCGATCCGCCGCTGACCTCAGAGTGTTTTGTAAGAAGGCTAACAAGCGTAAACTTTTGTCTGCCTGAAGTATTGATGTGTCTGATCAGTATAAATCAAAAAATACTGACCCATGTGTGGAGGATGCAAAGCAATCTGAAACCCGAGAGTGTGATGTCAACATCTTGTGTCCACCTTTGATGCACCCGTTTAGAGGTCAGTTTTTCCGACGGCAGAGAAATAGGCAAACAGGTCTCACGGAGAAACACCTGTTGGAGAATAGCTGAGAATAAATGAGAATTGAATGAATATATGAATGAATAGAGAACATGAGCCCAGTTCTCTCCCCGATCTCGCGCCTTGACCTCTGCGGCATCCAAAACGATTCCATCCAGCAGGCTCTCAAAACGCCAAAGGTTCTGTGCAAATGGCCAGTCACCTGCAGAGATCTTCAGAGACACTCCCCATGAACATCATGAACAATGCATCCTCTTGAAACGAATCATGGGACGAGCTCGTTCCTGACAGTTCCCAAGATTTCCATGGCCTGTCCACTAATCATGTTAGAATCGGGTGGCTGATACTGAGTGCATCTGAGTGCAGTGCCTGGCAAGACGGGAAAAGAAACCAAACTGAATTCCTGATAATATACCCTGCCTCTGAGAGTTCTCACTCCAAACTTCGCTCCTTTTTCTATGGACCAACCACGAAACTGGAGGGGTGTCCGGGAAACCAGTCGACCTCGCTCGCCACGGACGCCTGGATGGGGCAGAGCCGGGTTGGCCACCGCCAGGCGGAAGCTGTAGCGGAGGGCGGCGTCCAGGGGCTCGGAGAGCGTCAGCCTCTTCGGCTCCGAGGCGACGCGGTCGACGCGGTCGACGCCGCCGAGAGCGGAGATCGGGCGCGAGATCGAGGGTCGGTTTGGGAAGCTGCAGCGGTTTATGGGATCCCGACTGGAGGGTGTTCTGCATGAGGTCATGTTTTTTGGGCCGCTGGAAAGAAAACATCTGAAAACTGAAACACCTTGAAAGAAGCTGGCCAAGAATGACTCAGCTTTGCAGGCTTTGCACTCCTTACTTCTTAGCTGGGTTGGAATTGCTTTGGGCCTGTACCAACGTGATCCACTGCAGTTTGGCACCGGCGAATTGCTAAGAGTTCGACGCAGTCTACGCCGCAGGAAATACGCCGCGGTACGCCCGGTTTTTTGGGCCGCACCTGACGGCATTTTGCACTCCAAGGCAGGAATGAAGTCTTGGCAGATCCTGCTGAAACGACCAAAAAGATACGCTGTGACGCTGTGTGCAGAGGAAGCTCCGTGCGTGCTGGGAAGGGCCCTTTTTCCAGAGGTTCCCTTCAAGAAATACCTGCCTTCCTTCCTCATGAAAAGCACCAGTGAGTTCTTGAAGCTTTTTCCAAGTACTGGAAGCTCATGTGTAGTATGGTCAAACATTGTTAAGCACATGTTCGGATTTTCTTCAAGGGGGATGGTCATCCTTCTGCCTACCAAAGGTCTGTCTTCGGGTTGTATAAAAGTCAGAGTCAGATGGTGAGCATCACTACTAGTTGGATGGCCAGTTTCGACCGTCGCACATGATGCACATGTGAAGTAGCTACCACACAGTGACTCGCTGGCTGCCCGATGCAAATCGTGATATCGGCATCCACTTCGGCATCCTGATGTCGGTCGACCCCTTCAAGCTCCGCCAGGAAGGTGGCCGCTGGATGAACAGAGAAAAGACAATTCTGGGCGAAGGTGAAGCGATAGGGTGCCTCATGACACGCGGAAAACCCGGGAGCAAAGTCTTCCGAAGTGGAGCAAGTTCCAATTCGCAAATTTCTGGAAGAAAGGTTCAATATATCGTAGTTTGCCAACAGGTTGGAGGCCATTGCTATTATGGTGTCATGGCATGTACCGAATGGGAAGCAATCCATCCTGTGTTCGCGATTCCAAACCCGTTGGCAATGCCAAGAAACAGTGATGCGTAGTTCTCCTCCCACTGGAACAGTGAGGGAGGCTTGCACGGAGAACATCACTTTGTTTTCCTGGGCAAAGCATGTCTCCAATTCGCTACATCCATTCCTGCACTTGAATCAAACAAACACGCAAAACATAACAAGAAACTTTAACTTAAAAACTCTTCTTTCGTCGTGGTCGCTTCGCATGTGGTCGCTTCGTAGTTAAAACAATGCCATCCTTGCTCACACTTGCTTCGTCCAAGTTGCAGAGGCACCAGGCCTGAGATCTTCCCCACTGTCCGCCGTCCCCGCGTGGTACTTGGCCGACAAGAAGCGTCCCACGGGGCGGAAGCCTGCGAGCAGAGCCGGCGGGGCTTCCGGGTCGTTGGTTGAGGCTTTCTGAGGATGAACCAGTCCACGAGCGATTCTTTGTGTCATGTTGAATCCCGAAAGCTGATCGGTTGCTTGATGGCGTCAGTTTTTCACTGGTATAATATGTATTAATCACACATTGTTCCTATATCTCAACCTTTGGATCCTGTCATGACCCATTTTCTTGCATCCCCACGCCTTGGATGGCTTCAGAGGCCTCCGTGACCGCTGAATCGTTGCGAAAGGTTCGAAGAGACCAAAGGTTCTCCAGGGGAAATGGATCAGGAATCATCACCTGCAAGCGCCGAAGATGAAGCATGAGGAATTCGCTCAAAACACCAATTTCCATGCTCAACCACCATGCTGACAAGAAGTCTCCGGTGCCGAGTGATTCCTGTCAATGTGAGCAACAGGTTCCTACTCTGCCTCCAGGTAGTAGGCATAGACTCGTTCCTTCTCCAGAATGCTTCCTGAATGTCGCCCCGTGTCCCGCTTGTCACTTGCTACTCAGTTGATCATCTGTGCTCACATTTGTTCACATTGCTGGTCTTGATCTTGCATTCACCACACGCCCCGTCGCATCCTGCAAACTAGATTAACTAGATGCTCTAGCTTGCTTCACCAAACTCTGCCATTGATATCTTCAATGATCCCAACGAAAAAACATTTAAAGGAAAACCCAACGGAACACCTTATATAAAACCCTTAAAACCCCTTCAATGTTTGAGTTCTCAGTCCTGGCGTGAGGCTCACAGATGCCACCAGCCGCTGAAACTCTGTGTTGTTCTCGTCCAGGCTCTGATTCAAACCACGACCTCTGATTCATCCGTCATCGACGAATGTTTCCTTTGTCTGTAATGTTCCGTATGTTCGGAATTGCAAACAACAACAGTGGTTGATCCCAATACTGAGACATGCATTTCCTGCACAATTCACATATTCTCCGATGCATCATGTACGTTCAAAACACTGAGGCCCCCAGCATGCAGCGATGGAGCCGACTGGTAGTGGCGAAAAACCTCATCACAATACATGTTGGTTTGATGAGAATGCGAGGAACAGCACACATGAAGTGGTGAGGAACAGAAGCACATGAATGTTGTTCAAAACCTATGGAGAAGTTGTGTTGGCACATGTTTTGTGCGATACTTTCGCAGCTTGCATGTTGGTTGTCGCACGCTGGATTCCGCGCAGCAACTTCGCAAGTTTTTTTGATTTTTGTGGCCAGGGCGATTTAATTTATGAAAATGGTTTACCTACATGCACGTCATTCCCAATGGGAATATCTGCATGCTGTTATCTCAGTTATCTCAAAAAAATATTCCCAACAGCTGGGGCTGAGTTTGCTGATTAAGCATTGGCAACATTTAGCATGTGTCAAGAAGTTTGCAACGTTTGAGGCCACTGGTGCTTTCAAACGTGTGAACCTTGTTAATGTGCCATACGAGCGTACAAACACGGCAATACGACAGTGTAGAACATGTGCCCACATATGCGCAAGCCTTCACAACACCGCAACAAGCAAACACCAGGGATCCTCTTCTTTGGAGACCGCCAGCAAGTTTAGCACGACAGCATGACCCGATTTCCGCATCTCAGCGTGACAACGCCTCCTTGTCGAATGTATTGGTCGCAAAACGGGCTGCAAAATCATCAACGAAACACAGCGACCACTGAAATGTTGGATTGTTCAACCTCCATGGGTGAACCCCTGCGGGGTGGTCTTGGAAGGCTTTGGCTTGAAGCAGCGCCATCAAATATCCAACACCCCACCTGGCCATCGTGGTGAATTACCGGTGGTTCACCGCATCCCTCCACGAGACGCACGGATGGTCGAGCCTTTTTGCAGAAGGATGGATTTGGCGGGATTCTCTGAAGGATTGGATTGGAGCAGGATCTTTCAATGACTTCCGTCTGACACAGTCGAGTTTGATACTTCACTCCCCTTCGATTCAGCGCGTCTACACCTCTGCATGACAGCAGCATCCAATCTCTCTCTCATAATACTATATTTGTATATATACAAATCGGCTAGGGGATGATTTCGGACCTCCACTTTTGAAGCATTTACATGTTACTCCAACATACATACTTTCATTGCTTACTTCAACATCTGACATCTGGCTTCATTGCTTATTTCAACATCTGGCTTCACCAACATCTGGCTTCATTGCTTACTCCAACATCTGGCTTCATTGCATACTCCAACATCTGGCTTCATTGCTTACTTCAACATCTGGCTTCCAACTTCATTACTTACGCAACATTGCAACAAACAAACTGGTTTGCAAACCAAACCTCTAGTTTGCAAACTCATTCCTTCATATATACAATACACCAGAACTTGCTCCGGAACTTCCCCCGGAACCTGCTCAAGAACATGCTCTAGACTTGGTTCTGCACCTGCTCCTTGGTTCTGGTCCTGTTCCAAAGTCTTTACTATGGCTATTGTGGGGGAAAGGAACTCTCGCAAGCTTACGTGCATGACAAGTTCGCAATCTTTCGCGACCGTGTCCGTGCGCCTTCCGTGAAGTTGTCTTATACATGAAGATCTTACGTAACTTGTTACATTGGCATGGGGGTGTTGGTCGCTACTGACCTGCTTCGTTGTTGTTCTGCAGCCCAAGGAACCATCAACCTCCAGATGGAGCGGTGAAATTCGATCCACAGTGCACTCCTGCTGAAAGCAAGTTGTTGGAGGAGCCCAGCAGGCCCAGCCCCTTCAGAAAAAAAAAGAACAGGTGGAAAAGGTGGGAAAGGTAGGAAGAACTTGAAAATACACCAGTTGTCACAAAATACTTATCAGTGACGTTGGTTTCATAGTCCAACAAGTATCAGCAAAAACGGCCAACTAAGCATCAAAAGCAAGGTGCGGGCAGACCCCTCACTTCCAAAAAAGACGGTTTTATCGAGTTCAGTCTAGTCTTTTTGTATCTTTTTGTTAGACATTACATTCTGCCAGCATCAGCTGGACTCTACAACTGTGAGAATGCACATCTTATTATTTGTGAAAGGACATCCTTGGCCAATCAAAGGAGCCCTTGGAGTCCTTCTGGGAAGTTGCAAGCCGGCTCAAGTGGACTCAGAGGTCACTTCCCTCAAGTCTATTCTGCAAGCTTTTGAAAAGATCGAATGTTAGGAACGAGTGTGCAGTATGTCTCACAATCAAGCCCATCCTGCCAACTACAAGTACAAGTAACAGTGGCTTGGATTCAATTGGTTTCAATAACCCATTTTTACAGGACAACATCTACATCTCGAAACCTGACTCTTTCATGGAGTATTAAAAAGAGCTCCAGTTCAATTCTCTTGCATTTAACCCGTCTCAAGCGTCCCGTCTTTCGCGCGAAAAGGAAAAACAACTCAACGGTCCTCGGGGAAGACGAAGCCCCACGGAGCCGTCAGTTGCACGGCGGCGAAAACGCCCTGCGGCACCGCCAGCGTGCTGCCCAGTCGGAAGGTCACCATGATGGGTTGCCTTCGGCGTGTGGGCGACGGTCGCGAGGTCCGAACCCCGCGACCGTCGGCTCCGCCCCGCGCGTGGAGGGGCCAAAACTGGAACGCGGGAAGATCATTTCGCACAGAATGTTTGCGCATGAGTACGGGTGAGTCATAAAGCAGGCAGCGAAGTGGCGGCTCTGAGGAAGGGAACGGCAACCAGGGCGAAATGCTCGCAATGATCGCTTGAAGTGTGTATCCTGGCACGGAAGAAGAGTCAGGGTTGAACGTGGTTGAACCGTTCATGCAATGCCATGCAATGCCGTACCATGTCTTCCCCAGACTGAGGGCCTCAAACGCAAGAGGTCAAGTGACTCAAGTGCTTTCTGTTCATCTTTTCACTTCTTTTCACCTGGCCAGTCTGACCACCTCACAGCCAGCCGACACCACTGACCGGTCTCAACCGACCGACTGACCGTTTCCACTGACCGTCGCATCCCGTCGACTCCTGGAACCACAGCAGCCTGAAAGCGATACTGGTATTCCAGGTATCCGGCACCCGCTTCATAGATCTCCTGCACAAGCATCATGTGTTCAATACTCACAACATAAACCATCCACGGAGAGTGCAATTCGAGTGCAACCAAGTGCAATGAACTTCAATGAACTTCTCCAGAATCCAGGAGTTGGCGCTGCGCCAATCCGGGTGAAGCTCGGGATCAATTGCTGCGTTGAACAGCTCCCCGCGCAGTGTCAAGTCCACGCCCGCAGCAATTTGCGGATTCACCTTGAGGTTGTGCAAAAGTGCAAAGTGCAAACACTTGCTCCATCCATATACCTAGAACCTCCTTTGGTCCGTTCTTGGCCTTCTGGTCACTTGGTGGCAGTAAGGATCCACCAACCACTGGTTCCAGGAATTCTCTGTGTGACAAAAATCAGGAATTTACTTGTTGCTTCACTTGCATGTTTCTTTTTTGTGCTTATGATACTCTTTCTTTTTGCGTAGGCGTCATTTAGGGGTTCTTACAGTTCTTACCCGTTACTTAGGCGGTCTTGAGTCTTGCCCGTGACAATCACTAGTTGGGTTGACATAGGAAGGGTAGCCTTTTGGGGGGGAGTGAGTGATATGAGTGTCCAATACCTTAGATCGAAGACAAGCAAAATGTATGTGTTCTAAAAATATGTTTCATTCAAGTTATGTTTCTGTCCTGCATGTAAGAATGCAGCGCGTTTAACCCTCAAGCCTGCAGCTTGGGCGCTCGTTGATGTTCTTTGTAAAAGCGGGCGGCATGTTCAGCGCAAAAAGAGTTAGGCGAAAATTAGGCGCAAATGATTGCATAACGAAGATCTAGCTATCAATCAACACACTCGCTTTGGAGGGAAAGCCGAAACATGGCTTCGCCTGTTCGGCCTTGAGTGGTGGGCCCTGAAAAAGGTTGGACGAAAGCATGGAGGTTGTTCACGCTCCTTAAGTTCTTTAAGATTCCTCAGGTATATATCTTGCAGCACTTGCAGCATCATTGGCTTCCATTTTGTGGCACTGCCTCAGCTTTGCCCTTTTGGTGAGTCCTTCTCAAGTCTTGATAGTCATGTTTCCCGATTGCATCACATTCACCACGATTTCACTGCGGCTTGCAGCATAGAAAGCCATGTCTGCAATGGAAAAAATAGACCAGGGGGGAGAACAACGTGTTCAAGCAAAGAACAACCATTTGTAAAATATACAAAATGTGGTGCCATTAATTTATGTGGATTTACTTTACAAACATATGTAAAACTATGTTTCTTTTTTGTTTATATAGGGTGCATGTAGCGTCTTCCACAAAACTTGATGCCATCCATGTCGCGGCTAGATGTTGGTCCCACTTCTTGCAGTCTGACAAACCACTCCCATTGAACCGTCGGTGCGTGCTTTAAATGTCCAAAACAAAATGTCCAAACGAGGACCCGGAGGGTTCAAGAAATGCCTGAGGCCTTCACCAAGGTCAACTCCAACTGATTCTTCGGGTCTGCAGCTGGTGCATTGATCGGGTCATACACCACGGTGGCCAAGGTGACCGGCGACTCTGCAGACAAAGTGGGCTGTCCTCCTCGCTGGCACAGCTAAGTCACCAGTCCAAGTCACCAGCTAACAAACCTACACTTCAGCTAGGGGGGCGGCTTCGACTGCATGGCTAGACTCGTCCGAGTGGTCATGATAGACCTTGTTCCTAGTAGCTTCTTGTTCCTAGTAGTACGGCCAGGAGGTTCTAGTAGCGTCCTTGCTCCTAGTAGCGATGCCAGGAGCCCCTAGTAGCGATGCACTTGCTCCTAGTAGCGATGTTTCCCATGTTCCCGAACGGCCCGCTCCAATGACCCACTCATAGCCGAAGGGAGCCGTAATGCGCAGCCTTGTTCCGTGCGAGGTGATGCTCACCTGAGAATTCCAACAGCCGACGGTTCCGTCACGCTTCTGCCAGCCCTTGTAGGAAGAGGGTTGCTGTAAGGTTCAAAACATGTTAACACCAAACACTTCAACGGGTCTTTAGGGCTGTGGACTCTTGACTCTCCCTGCCGCCAGCATCACCGCGGGGCGGAAGCGCAGCGTCACTGCGCTTTGTGCCAGGGGCTTCAGAACCGCTGCTTCCACCAAGAAGTCCATGATCTGGGGGCATCCAGCAGCGCGAGAGCAAGCATAACATAGCATCACCAGAACACGATTGAACATCTCTTCTACGTTTCGGCGACGATATGGCACGTTCGCAAAGGCATTACATTTCATGACTAACGTTCTTGATGCAAAAGCTCTTGAAGCAAGGGCGCAGCAGTAGGATATAGCCTGAAGCCTTGCAGGAACGGGCCCAAGGGAATATTCCTGCAGAGCACGAAGACTGTTGACTCACCAGTATTATTGACGCAATGTGATTTACAGTAACATATAATCTGACACAGCCTGAGTTTGGCATTCGCTCCATAAATTGTGAAGAACCCTGAATGTTCTTGGTGGGTAAGGAGGGACAGCAACATTCCGCCACTGCTTCTTAAGTTTCTTTCAACCTATCGCACAGCCTTTCTGTCCTTGAAGTTTCCAACACGGTTCCTTGCAGCGATAGCAAGTCAATCCTCTCAGGGCATTGGAAGCGTCCAAAAAAGCTGACGTTGGAAGACAAATCTCATTCATCAGAATTTAGAATATATGGCCAATACGAGCAAGAGCAAGCATTGCCAAAGAGATACAAACTCACAAGCTTTTGGATATCCGACATACACAAATTAGATGAGTAACGGTGTAACGTGATGATTCTGTAATTTATGTGTACAGTACATCGCCACAGTACATCGGTATGCTAGACTGTCAGACTTCCTCCAGGGCAAATGGTCCAATGACCCGGTGTGGCTTCCGGGGAAGGGGTTGCGCAAAGGGAAGAGCTTGGCCGCGTAGAAGGTCTCCGACTGAAAGGCTGCAGCCATGGGCATTTGCATGGCAAACAAGTTGTGGCCGACGGTGCCAAGTGGGTTGGAACCTCGATTGAATGAAAAAGCGGCAGAACAGTGCCTGTGTCTCTGGTTGTTGAGTCCTGTGAGTATGAAAGCTTCGTGCTGTTCTTGGATGTTCATTAGCTGGCTGGGTGTTCACTTCTCTTCGGAGAATCGAAAGATATGAAAGCATATGAAAACTTTGTGCGGTTGAAAGCCCCGCAAGCTGAAGGTTGCATTTAGCCAGTGATGTCACTCAATCGAAGACGAATGAGTCTAGAACTGAGTCTAGATTGTTCATTGGTCTCTGGCGAACTGTATCCTCCATTGGAATCCTCTGCAGATTGCTTTGCCCTCCTTCACAACAGCAGCCACCTGCTCTGCATTGCATGCATTGGAATCCTCCACCGAGTGCTGCAGCTGCCAATTCTCATTACTCCGTCGAAGCAAAGCTTGGAATCCCAGCCCAGCACACCGCTCGTTTCTCGGTCACCAAGAGGCAAGTCATGCCAGGATCAGGGAAGCCTGAAAGCACTTGAAATCCGCAAGGCAGCTCCTCAGAGAGATCCAGGTTTCTCGAAACCGGCTGAATTCGCCCTTCAACCAAAGGCGTCTCTCAAAGCTGTGCTGTTGAACCCGCTTTTTCACCGTTTTAGCTCGGGCGAACCGGTCTTCTCAGAGACACAAACCTGTGGCGTCGACGCGACCACTGGCGAGACACGAAGCGAAAGCTGTCGGGCGCCACGACCAGTGCACGAGCGGAGGCTTCAGAGCCTGAGAGGTCACTGCTTCGGTCACGGTCGAACCCACCAGTGGCTGAACGAACACGGGTTCGACCCCAAACAAACAAAGTATGGCTGAGCAGCTGCGCAGCTTCTTCATGATGAACCTTTTCTTTGGAGTCCCTAAGAGTGACCTCAAACGGGATTGAAAGGTCCTGAAGAACCAGGTGACATGTCTAAAGATCTCCATAGTGAGATCACTGTCTGTACACTATATAACTCTTGCCATTGCAGCAAATGATATTGGGGCTTAGGGATTTACAGTATGCGGAAGGGACAGGTTGGACAGGCAGGATTCATTTGGGAGCTCCTGAGCTTGCATTGGCAAAAAGAAAATGGCCGTCTGAAATGCGCTTGCACAAAGAGACACCATGTCTTAATACGTATATATATGCATATATATATATACACAATCTAATATAATACTATATATATATATCAATATATATCATATATGTATGGCACAATATGTATTCATTATCTTTCTTTGGTCAGGCAGCGTGGCTTGAAGAAAATCTGGATCTCGTTCCATTGGGCATAGTCCATCCTGCTCAACTTCAATGCTCCAGAACACGTTCGATTGAAAGAGGGGACCAGGGTCGAGCAGGTCGAGCAAGTGTCCACCTATATATGATTTTAAAAAATATGTATATATAATGATATATGATATATCATATAATACAATAATATATATAATATAATATAGTATATATATTTATATGATATATTAAATATAACATAATATAGTAATATATATATTATATATATACAAGCCATGTCTACTGCACCAAAGTCTTCGGGATCACTTGGAGAATCAAATCGCTTCAAACAGTGAACATGGAGTCGTGGCTGCGACGGGCAAAACTCAGCTGGTCGTGTTCTCGTCCTTGCTCGGTGACGAGTAAAGAAAACTGCTACGAGTACTACACAACAGAGATTGAGTCTTTGCATGGTTTTGCTGAGTTCCAGGACTTGCTGCAACTTGCTGAAGGAATCTGAAGGATGCTAAGGGGCCACCCAACACATCTTCCTGAAAGGAGAAGTGCGAAAAGTTATGCTCTGCTAAAGGCTCCTTCTCATGTGGTGTCTTTCGGTTCTTCAACAGCTTCAAGCTGGACCCAGCAGCAGAACAACAACTGCTGTCCCTCCGCACAACGAATTGGGTCTCCCCCAAAAAACATCCAAAAACGCCGAAACGCTCAACGCAAACGCGTAGTCGCGTACGCGTACCCGCGTCGTCGTGTCAAACTCCGGTGGTACATGACGCTCGGCGTCCGGAGGCGGTCCGCTCTCCTCATGGGCATGAGAAATGCCTGGTGTAAGGAGGTGATCACCGGCCATCCCTGCCACGTCGCTGCCATCGAAAAGGCGGCCGCGGACTCGAAGACGACCTCGCGTTGCGCTTTTAATGCGCCGGGTGCGGAGCCGTTCGGTTTGTGCGGTTCGGTTCCAAGAAGCAGATGTTGAGATTGGTGAAAGTGTGTCTTTGTACCCAAACAGAAACCTCAGGAACTTCTGAACTGATTGTTTTGCGTTCAGAATTTTAGTTTGTCAGTTTTACTATGTGCAACCAAACACAAAAAAAATGTGAATATACGTATGCGTTCAAACAACACCACGAAGGCATGTGGTGCATATTTCCACACTGCTGCCGTCATGGCACCCTCCATTCTTCAGCTGGCAATGTGGCGTCTGGATTTGTGACTTGCATCGTCACGGTCACCTCAACTGGCAATGGTCTGGACATTTGCGAAAGCTTTACCAAAAAATATGTGTGGACATTTGTCCAATGTGCGGGAATGGATTCATCAACTGTCAACGCTGAGAGAACACCCCTGAACGCTGCTTCTTCACATCGTTCACAGCTGCTGCATGCTGCTGCACACTGAAGCGCACTCTTTTGCTTCCGAGAGGCTGACTGGTGAGCGTAGAGGTTCTGGTTATCCTGTGCAAAACAAACAACTTGACTGTGTTTGTGAAATACGATCAAACACCGATTCCCCAAGTGAATTCCAAATTGCTGGCCCTACTAGATTACTAAATAATCTAAATATGAATACCAAGCTTTTTGACGATGCTGACGTGATATACTATATATACAGTAGCAGTTTCAATCAAATGCAATTCTCATTCCACTTCCCATGCCACACTCCGCCTGGAAGGTCAACCTGCAATAAGCCTCATATGAGGTTCCGACCAGCTGTGCATCCTCGATTGACCAGAAAACATTCTCCGTCCGAGGGTCGTGGCATGACGGCCGCGCTGCTCTTGTTTGGAAGTGCCACTATGAAACATGACAAATGGAAACTACAGTGGAAGAACCTGTTGGGCAGCGAATTCGATTGGCGATACTTCCAGAATCCCACCTCATCCTCCGTTTTGCTGTTTTAGAGTGGTCAGCGTTCTCTTTCCAGGCCACCGGCTTTGTGGTCGCCAGCTCGCAGCTTCCGATACGAAGGAACAAAGGTGAGAGCACGGACAAGGTATCTGGAGCAGCTGTGGAGCCCAAGATATTCACCTCAAAGGAGTGATATGGCGGGTGGATCCAAACATATCCAAACCGTCCAAACCGGGGGGGAACCGACCGGTTGACCACAGAAACATGAACGGAAAGGGACTACCAGGGAGGTCAACCTACCAGGGCGAGTCCAAGGGCTCCAGGCTTGGACCCACGGCGCATGTCATTGCCGTTTCAACCGCCAAAGGTGACCCGACTTTCGCGCTGAGATCTGAATCTCATCTGAAAAAGATCAAAACAGCTGAACTGGATGCTTGGAAACACCAGCAAAAATGTTTTTTCTTTTTTTCTTCAGGATTGTTCAAACACATGTGGCACTCTTTGCGACCAAAACATGAGATTGTTTGTCGATGCTTGTTGATGCCTTCAGGCTGTAATGACTACGCCTGCTGCTGCATTCGGGGCAGTTTTTTGCCTGTCGCAAGGGAGCTTTGCGTACCGTTTGACCATGTTTGAGCACTTTTCTCCCCAAACAAATCCACTGAGATTATCTTAGATTGGCCAGAATGTCTGTTCCATCTACACCATCCCGTCATGTATTGCCACACTGACTGAACCCTGCCCAGCTGCCCTTGGGAAGATGGTCATTTGCAAGGACTGCCTTGCCCCATAGGAACTGTCGGCCTGCCGAGCTGATTGGAAAACATGCTTCAACAAGTCCTGCAATGGCAAATCCTGTGAGGATCTCATTGGCTCTTTCGTCGAAATCCGCCTCTTGAAGTGTCGTGAACAGCTGAAAGAGCGGTGGTGGCAAGAAGAATGGGCCAGCCGCAATGATCTGAGCGGTTGAGTTCCAAATCATATGAGTCTTGAGCACGCTGAACCTGCCTGATCTGTTCTGAGCAGTCCTTTGGATTTGTTTGGATGCATATCAAGACAAAAGAAAAAAAGGTAACTGCGGTGCAGTGGCAAGCAAGATCACATCACCTTGTCTAAAACGTCTTTGAACTTTGAACTGAGGCCTTATCGTAGAATTGGCCCTTTGAAGCGGCATACCACAGGCCAAGTGAGCCCTGGCCTGCGCATCGTACATAGTAACACAATGTAACAATGTAACACATTGTGGAAGCCAAGCAGACACTTGCGGAAATCAATGAGCAAAACACCATGACCAACAGCCTTTGGGCTTGGCCACGGTCATGCGCAGATAGTAGACCGTGCTGGCTGATAGTGCTTGGTCCAACTGCAAGCGCAGCACGTTGTGCCCAGCCCGACCATCCTGCGGCATCATCTCCACCATGCAGCTGCCATAAACGGGATTCACCAACCTGAGCAACCAGCTTGAGTGGATTTCGTACGACTTTGCACTCATGAGATTGCTCTGCAGCCAGGCCACCCGGAGGAATCAAATCCAGGACAAGGACCACCAAAGGAAAGGCCCTCATCAGAGAAAATGAAGGGAGATGAAAAGATTCGAATCCTCAGCTCCAGGAGCTGAAGAGAAAAAAGACTGAGATCTGATTTTCCGGCCACATGGGCATCCTCTGGCATCCTCTGGCAACATGGGCCACTCTTCAGTGACCTCTCTTCTGATTCATCCCCAGTCTGACAGCACCTCTCTTCTCACGGCGAAGCGGCTCCGAACCTGCTGCGAGTGCCCCAGAGATGAAGAAGGTATACTGAACGCGTTCATCCGAAATCGCAGCCTGCGTGTGACTTCGACACCACTTGTGAAGATCGAGACAACAGCAAGCTTCTCAGCTTCTCAGCAAACCTTCCTATGGTCTGGGACTTCAATGCATTGTCCTGATGCTCAATAGTCCCTACGTAGGTTCATCGATAAAACCCCACAAAAAGGACGGTCGAAATCTGGTCACGTCCATTCTAGGTGTTCTTCTGCGCCACCATGCCAACCAGGACCAGAACCAACATAAATAAACCCTGGCCCATTTGGTTTCACCGCTGTCTTGACAGGGCAGGATTTTCACAGCATGGTGCTTTGACTCCCTCCCGGAGCTGCTCACCATGGCCATGAGCCCGAAGGATGCCAATGCTCCAGGCACTTGAACCAACTGCTCGGGCACCTTGGACGGAATGGGGAACCCTTCGACGGACTTTTGGATGGTTGGAGTATGTTGGGAGTGACGTCTCCCAAGAGAGAAGCCGAGGAAAGGTGTGGAAAGGTCTTGTGGTGCCCAAAATATAGTTTCCCTCTTTGCAAGGCATGTTTGAAGGGTATAGACTATAATATAATATCTAACTATATATGTTACTGTATATGTAATGTAATATGTTAGTATGGGGTCACTCTAGGTTGTCCCATGTTGCCCCCCCCTTCTCCGCCCAAACGATGATCTCGGCCAATCGGTCCTTGACTCTGTTTCAATGACGTTTCTTTCCATGAATGTATTGGGGTGGGTGGGCTGCGGACAGGTGTAGGACTTCTCAAAAGCTTCGAAGCCAGCAAGCTGTGAACCCACATTACATCAATGTAATACATCACATGTCCTCCAAGGACCTTAAGGATACACACAAAACAGCTAGTTGACCTAGAACCGCAAGATAGATCCATGAACAGTCCATTCAATGAAGGAGCCAACATGAACCAATAGTTCTCCACTCTCTTTGAGGCCTTGTAGTAGCCTTCCCGGTGCACTGGGAGTGCTTGTGTCTTAACCAATTCCAAACACTAGCCAGCGATGCGGTCTGTAGATGGATCAATGTGGTCTGTAGATCTCTCTCTCTCTCTCTCTCGTGGACCTCCTGTGGTCAAATGCTGCGAGGGCACTATCTGCATGGTGTCCTCCTCGAGTGGTGTCTGTATTCCCCCAGTATCTGGCAAGTCAGAACTTGGGATCCATCTTGCTTCTGCGATGTTTGCTTTAAAACATCAACATCAACAGCACACCTTGCCTGGTGGCAGAATCTGCAGCTGGAAACTCTGGATTCGCTTGGAAGCAGAAGGTAAGGTACCCAAGACCAGCAGGTCATAGCCTCAGCTGGCACGGAATATATTGGCGGATCTGGGTCTATGTTGGATCTGAACACCGGTGTTCTTTTTCCCGTGGGCTCTCCATGCGGTACAAAGAACCCGGCATAACCACGCCTCGTCCGAAGCCGCTTCGGGTCGGGGGGTGGGCCGTTTCGGACGCTACGAACGGGGCTCCTGGCATCGCTACGAACGGCGCGATCGCTACGCTACGAACGGCCATCCGCTCTCCAAGGCACGGGTGTTGCTGTCCAACGATCCGGAGAACTCCAAGGTCAGGACGCCGCTTCCAGTGCTGCGACAGGCTTCCAAAGAGGGCAATCCTGGTGCTTCCAAGACCTTCCGGCAATTCAAGTCCTCACCAAGCTCAAGATATTCACCTTGGACATGGACTTCCCAGCGATTTTTTCCATGTGCTACTTGTTGAAATGCCAGATGAGTTCTTCCACCAAGTTCAGTCTTCGTTTCCTGGGAGGCGATCCACTCTGTACTGCTGCGAGCGCCCAAATGGAAATAGAAAACAAAAATTGATCCATTGGGCCCCAAATCTGCGACTTATATAAGATTATATATATATAAGATTGCTTTTTCCCCACCAGCAATCCACAGTCTGACTGGTGCTGCTTAGTATAAGGAATGAGGGAATGGATCCTAAGGATCCTAAGGTATCTACAGTGAGGGGTCATTCCCTTCTTCTCTACTAAGCACCAGCCAGTAGTTTCTGCCCACCGCATCCCACCGCCATATTATCATGGTTTCACTTCTGCCAGGCGGCAGATTTCTTGCGTGGGCTGGCAAAAGACGCTGAAACCCAACGACAGCCGCATCCTGGTGCGAAAGGACCGCAAAGCCGGCCAGAACCACAGGTCTTGGGCTGTTTCAAAAGAAAGAAGTCTATGGAGCTATAAAAACTAAAAACAGAGTACTTCCAACTCCAGGACCTTCAAGGTCAGCGGCACAAAGGTCCCCCATAGATCGTTTCACGGTTCTGAATCTGTTTTTTGGAGGGAATCATATAGAGCTATAGAACTTGTTCTATTCTATCAGTTTTTGGGGTGACTATCGTTCAAGTGCGTGTTCATCTCGCATTCGAGCGATCTGGTCCTGCCACTGGGAAATGCAAAACGTCTTCAACACTTGACGTTTGGGCAGAAATTGATATGTGTGGTGTTCAAGCCAAGAGCTGCAAGCCCAGGCCAATATCTTGTTTCTTCAAACGAGCTGAAGCAGCCCACTTCTTAATGGTCATGTGGCCAGGTGAACAATTTGTGGGAACGAGTTATTCTCTTTTGCTATTCGGCAAGAACAACAGGTGCTACGATTTTTGGGGTGAAGATGGTGGAAGTCTAGAGAAAAATACCTTCGCTACCTTTGACCGACGGCCCAAGGCCTTCCGACGCGGGGTTTTCCACGATAGCTTTTCCACGACGGGTTTGGCAGGACACTAACTGACACGTCGAGCCACGTCTAGCTCTCCATGTGGCGAGGTGTTTCTCTTCGCATCTCTTCCCCACTCATCTGCCTTTTGGCTTACAGATGCTCACGACCGGCCCTCTGCCCATCTCTTCCCTCTCTCTGAAGGACCAAAGGTAGCACTTAGATGTGCATTCAGTCCTGATCGAGCCATCATTAGAAGGGATGCCATATGCTGGATTTGAACCTGGGGACTCAAGACGAAAATAACAAAACTTCCCATAAAAGGGACACTGACAGAACCACTCCGAATGCAAGAAGCTACGAACGGAACAAAGGGCATCCCTAGGAACGGAGCAAGGACACTACTAGAGGCTCCTGGCCTTACTACTAGACCTAGAAGCAAGAAGCTACTAGGAGCAAAGGGCATCGCTACTAGGAGCAAGGACTCTACAGTAGCTCCTGGCCTTACTATGAACAAGAAGCTACTAGGAGCAAAGGGCATCGCTACTAGGAACAAGAAGCTACTGCTCCTGGCCGTACTACTAGGAGCAAGGACGCTACTAGTAGCTCCTGGCCTTACTACTAGGAACAAGAACCTACTAGGAGCAAAAGGCATCACTACTAGAAACAAGAAGCTACTAGGAGCAAAGGGCATCGATACTAGGAACAACAAGCTACTAGGAGCACAGGGCTTCGCTACTAGGAACAAGAAGCTACTAGGGGCTCCTGGCTGTACTACTAGGAGCAAGGACACTACGAACGGAGCAAAGGGCATCGCTACTAGGAACAAGAAGCTACTA